TTGGCCTCCCAAAGTGCTGGGATTATAGGCGTGAGCTAACATAAGCTATATTGTAAACAATGTTTATGTTGGAAAACCACAAGTAACTGTTGAAAGCCATAGCTAGATGGAAGCCCGCCCTCTAGGGAAGTGGATTTGAAGTGCATTTGGGGGCACGGGGAGAGTCACTTAGACACTGTCATGCCAACTGAATGTTGCACAGCTTCTTGTTGCCATGGGCTTTCTGTCCCCATCCTCCAAACCACATGGATGTGAGCTGGACACTGAGTGGGCTGCATCCAGTCCCCTGGAAAGCCAGAAAGTCCACACATCTGGAATGATCTTGACACCTCCAAGTCCTTTCAACTCCATGACTTCATAAGGATATCACAGACTAATCATGGGTCTCTAAAGAACATCAGCATCATGGGGTTTTGATGTTCGAAGGGACCTAACCTTACCCGTAGGTTAGGTTTGCTTTGTCCTCTCTCTTTCAGCACCTACACACTCCACTCTGAGTTAGTTGTGATATCCTCTCTTCCACCGTGAACCACACAGCACAACGGTTCCTCAGTGGTCATCCCCAACAAGGACCACATACATAGTAAGTGATAATCGTGTCTGTAGACATGATTAGCTCTTCAGAAACCAGTTAGCTATTCAGAAATCTTTCTCTACATAGAGAAACTGTAGCCAGCTCTCCCCAAATCTATCAGAGCCTGGGATGAGGCCCAAGTGGTGGGAAGTAGCCAGGAAATGTTCCCGCTTCAATCATAACAGTCAGTTCACCCAGGGGTAGAGAGCTGTCCCCAGCTCAGGAGGCAAGAGGACAGTCATTCAACCTGCAAACCTGGACTATGAGCCTGCTTGGGCCTTGCGCTGGCCCGACAGCAGATTCAGAGATTAAGCCAACGCAGGAATACACTAACGTGGTATTCTATGGTCTCCCAGAGTCCAGTCTGCAGGGATGGAGAGAAACCAAAGGAAAAGAAAATTCAGAGAAAGAGGAGGAAAAAGGAGAACTTAATTAAGGGACTGCAGAAAAAAATTTAAAAGGCAGTTGCCATGGTTAGAAGAAGATAGACAATAAGGTGTCACACCTAAATATGTGCTTACAAAAAACATGGAAACCTAGGATGGGGAAGAGGTGGATCATGTGCCTGGTGACTTCCCGTTCTGTTCTCACGGTGCCCCTCCAAGGGGCACAGAGATGTCTTTACAGGCATCTCAGGACCCCTGCCCACATTTCTATTCCTGAGTCCCTGTGCCCCTCTCAAATGGCCCATGCAAGCATCCACTCTGGCCCCTGTGAGAGCCACGCCCACATGAGTCCCCTCTCACACCCGCCCCACCCCATGCAGCCTGGTTAGTGCACGAGCAGTCACTCGGTGGCCCCTCAGTGCCCAGACACAAGAAAAAAGCACTCAGAGAAATGTAGTGCAATATGCATTTACCTTCCAGAGCTGGGGTGAGACAACCGGTTGCTTGATAAGCTAAGCAAAAACAGCAAATGGAATCATTAGGCCAAAAAAGCAAGGAGGGGAGGAGGCGAAATCGACAGTCGCAAACTATTAATCGGCCACCATCTGGGGCCCAGAGGCCTTTCTATTAAAAGAGACCAGCTGTCTTAGTTGGCCCGCTCCAGTTAGCAAGTGGCCTCACCACCGGACACCAATATATCTGAAACCAAGAGCTCAATAAAGGCAGCAGAGTCTAGGAAAATGGTTAGGCAGAAAGGAGGCCCTTTCGGGCTTTGCTTTGAAAAAGATGTGTCTCAGGCACTTGGGTCTCTGCCCCCAAGAATGAGGCTTATAGCTGCCTGGCATGTTTCCCCACCCCACAGTACACCAGCCGGGGGGCAGCTCCTGCTTCAACCTTTGGCCCCTTGGAAGAAAAGAACCCCATTCCTGGAAGTCCCCTGACGGGCTGGGAAGGAATCAGGTGGCCTGGAGAACACTCACCATTAATATGTTAAAGTACAAACCAGCTGGGAGAGTGAAGAGAAAAATAAAGCAGTTAATTCAGCAAGAGCTGGGAGGCACGAAGGTCCATCAGACCAGCACGAGGCCCATCCTGCCTGGAGGCCCTGATTGTCCCCCCCAATCTGGGCAGCTAGGACCCGACACTAACCGGGACTGCGTAGGCCACTGAGGGGCGGGGACCCACACAGGGCTGCCCCTTAGTGGAGCTCCCACCCACTTGGTCTGAGCCCACTCTTACCTTTCCCTCCACCTTTCCTAACACAAATCTCTCCAGCGGGGCTCTAGATCCCAGCTCTGCGGGAGATCTCAGGGGCTACCTCATCCACACTCACTCCCTGCAGCTGTCCCTGTGGTGACAAGAGCTCTCCCCCCTTTGTCAGCAGCCCAGCCTGCTCGATGGCACTTGTGGTCTATATCTCTAATCACAAGAAAGCTCTACTAATATCCCATCTCTTTATAACTACAAAACAAACTCATCCTCTTCCCCCAAACCTGGCTTCCCTCCTCCCCGGTGCTCCTGGTGTGTGAATATCACTGGCATTCTCCCGAACTCCTAAGCTCAAAACTTGCCATCTTGTATTCCTGCCCATCCTCCATCCCCCAAATCCAGCCAGTCAACAATTCTTGGCTCTTCTTTCTCCCTTTCTCAATACTTCTGCTGTTGTGCTCTGATCTAGACCCTCATGGCTCCATATCTGGTGACCATCTCAACCCCCTTCCCCTTAACCCCTTGTATCAGACCACTGCTCTGAACAAGATGCTACAGTCCCCCCACTGTAGATCATACTGAGCCTCCCTCCTTTGTTAGGCATTTACTAATCTACTCACACCCCACTACAACCGTGGTTCTCTCTACTTCCTAACACTCAGGTGCCACTGCAGCCAGACCTGTCCCCAACTGGCATGGACAAGTCCATTCCTGGCCTCTGAGCCTTCACTTTTGTCCTCCCTGTTCGGAAAGTCCTCCCTCCTTCCTTCTGCTCAACTAAGTCCTGCGCACTGAGCCTTCACACCTAGCTCTTTCGTAGCTTCTGTGGCTCCCAGCACAATGCTAGGCATACGATGGGTATTCAAATGCTGTTCTACAGAAGGAAGAGAAAGAGAAGAGAGGAAGAAGAAGAAAAAGGAAGAAGGAGGAGGAGGAAGAGGAAGGAGGGGAGGGAGAGGGGAAAGGGGGAGAGGAAGCGAGGGAGTGGGAGGAGAAATGCATTTTTCAAGCAAGTAAGGTCCTGCCCCCAAAGGGAGCTGCCACTCCAGAAAAGATGGAAAGAACAGCTCAAGAGTGCAGCTGCCTCTGCTCAGAGCTTTAAAATCCTCTGGAGACTGTGTGGGCAGAACCTCCCATGGTTCCAAGGCACTGGCCAACTCCATCCTTTCCTGACCATAAATTTCCTTTGTCTCTCTCCTTAGAATTGAGAGAGTTCCTCTTCTCTGGGTCTGGACTTCTTCCCTGGGAAGAAGAGGGGGAGAGTTAGCTTTCTCATTCAGAGAGGCGGATGATGGGTTCTATAGGACCTGCCTGCAAGGACTGAGCCGGGATAGCTGGCCCTCCCCCAGCTCTCTCTGGAGCTGTCTGGGATGCTCTGCTCCCCGGACCCACTGTCCTGCTTTCTCTAGGCCTCGCCCTTCCATGGTTGGTCCGGCCAGGGGGAACCCTGAGCCAGTGGAGGCACCTGGTCTTCAGAAGGCAGAAGCCCTGCCTGTGCCTGGCAGACTGGGCCACAGCCAGGCTCAGGGCTCTCACCCAGGCAGGGGAGCTCCCCACTTGCTGCCTCTGACGGGGTCAAAATCACAGGCACCAAATGTTGGCGCGGAAAGGCTTTAAAGTGTTCTCCATGCCACCTTCATCTTACAGAATGGGAATTCAGGGCCCAGGAAGGAAAGGTCTCCTCAAATGGAAGCAAAGTAGGCCTGGAGGAAACCCGGATTGGCTGCAGAAGCTGGATGCCTCCATCCTTCCTGGCTTTCATCTGCTCTGGGAATGTAAAAGTCCCTGGGAAAGTCCTGTTCTGATACCTCAGTTTCCCTGAAAGCCCTAAACAACCTGACTGACCCAAGCAGAACAGCAGAGGTTATTTCAAAACCGTGTGTAGCAACATCACAGGTTCTGCTGCTCCTCTGAGCCCACCTAGACCAGTGCCTCCAAGAAATGAGGGTACAGGGGCTTCTGGAACTTCTGAGTGTCCCACAGAAGCTAATTGGTAATAACTGCTTCCACCCAACTGTGGTCCCTTAACCTACTCCAGCCTCCACACACCCACCTTGCTATGGGGTGAGGTCCTAGGTGTTGGATGGCCTGAGGTTGGGCTTACAGCTTGGTGGGACTGTCTGGGTGTTGGGCCTTGGACCCCAGTGGGCACTGGAAATATCCTTCAGCTGACACTTGACTGGAACGCCCCCAGAGCTGTGGGGCAGGTGGAGGTGAGGCATGTGTGGGGAGATGGGTTCTGGCCCTGGGACCAAGGCTTCTAGTGCCCCACCACCAGCCCTGCTCGCCATCAGCTCCTGGGGCAGCCCATCCTCACAAGCGCCCATGAGAATGATGCCTCAGGAGCTCCAGGACAGAGTTACGCAAAGGCAGTCCTAGAAAACGTCGGCAAAGAGCGAGTGGAGACAGAACTTGCCTCTCAGTCGGGACTCTGGGACAGACAGGGCTCGGCTGAGCTGGAGCCGACGGAGCTGGCAGAGCTCTCAAGGGACTCTTTCTCCTTGTCTGTTGGGCCCCTCCCCATCCTCACGGGCAGTCAGGCCTTGCTAGAGAACAGGCACCTGCCGCCCCCGCCACCCCCCAGTGCAGCCCCATTCACACTCTCCCCTCTCTGGCCAAAGGCTTTTCCAGAGGCCAGAGAAATCCAGCTCCCCTCATCCCTCAGAACCTGTGGGCGTCTGTGGGCAGCTGGTCAGGGCAGTGAGAAACTGCAGGGGCAACACACGGCCCAAAGTCCAAGGCTAGAAAACTCTCTCTCCCACTGTCCCTGTCCTGCCCCCTCCAAATACTTGATGAAAAGAGACTCCTTTTGAGAGCGTTCCCACTTAGGTCCAAGGACGCTTAAGCCGGCCACTTCTGCCCCACCTCTAGCTCTCAGGCGGGCACACTGCGCTGCGCTCGTGAGGCGTGCAATTAATGTTTATCTACAACTGCTCAGCTAGGCAGAAGCCTTTTCCCCAACAGCCCAGATCCCCTGCCTTCCCCGTTCTGCCTGTTGCCCAAGCCACCATTCCCTCCCTTCCTCCACTGCTGTGGTGACTGAGAAGGATCCTGCCTCCACCTCTTCTATTTGTCCCACTGGTGTTGACAAAGGCCAAACACAAGAGGCAGAGCCCAGACCAGTCACTGCCACAAGTGCGAGGCTCCCACAAGGGAGTCAACTTCACTATGGAGTGGATAGAATACATGTCCGAATTTCATCCCGGTTTATTTGTAGAGCCAGGACTTGGGAGGTGGAAGGGGCATTCTTTCCTGGCAGCCAGGGGCCTTGTTGTGTCTGACTCAGTCACTAACACCAGTCCTCAGCCCTGCCCCAGACATGTGACACCATTTGACGAGTTTTATGCAGAAACCGGTTCCGGTTACATTTGAACTTTTCCGACTCCAAGGTCAATAGGACTCAGCCAATCCATGAGGAAGTGCCCGGGACTTTTCCTGAATGTCCTTGATACCCGTTTTTATGCTGTTTTAGGAACGGAGAACAACAGGTCTCTAGACGGCGTCTCAGAGGAGTGGCCGTTTTCGGCATAAACATACAAGCCAAGTTCTCGGGCTATGAAACAACCACTATCCCAACAGCTAAACGTCACATTTCCCTTTGGAAAACAGGCTGCAGAGGTGGAGGGAAACTGAGCTGCCCAGAGGGGCAGGAAGGAAGGGTCTGTCTCCATGGCAATGCACGTGTGGCATGTGTCGTGTGTTTGTGCACCTCTGAGGAGTGCCTGTGGCTTCTCTATTGTCGCCGTGTCTTTCTATCTGGGCAGCTAGCTCCTGAAACAAAGCATCCACACCTCTGCAACTCTTAGAAGACCAGAGAAGGGCTCGTCAGTTCCCCGCCTCCCTTGGCACTTCGCTCCCCTGCACTGGGCAGGGCAATCGGCTCCCTCAGAGTGCAAGTCCTCAAGTCCGGGACATCCCCATGCGGGGCCAACCAGCACCGCATCCCACCCCTTCATCTTCGCGCCCCGCAAAGACCGTGGGGATGACCAACGTCCTGGACCCAGAGTCGGGCCATACTTACACGGGTTTATTTCTTCCTGGTGAATCTTCCCGACCCAGGGCAGTCCCCCGAGCGCCCCTGCCCTCTCTCTCCACCCCCCACCCTAGTGCTCTCCCTCCCTCCCTGCCAGGGAGGAATTTCAGCCACTCTGGCTGTCCTTATCGCTGACTGTGGAATCCAGTTAAATGTGGAGTCCAGGGAGTAGCGGAGTATGGGGTGGGGGAGGTACAGAAAGCCTTGGGGCGCCGGTGAGATCACCCCAAAGTGGGGCCTTTCTCCTCTCTTGAGCCTGCGCTGCCAGAGGCCTGAGGCCCACAGGCCACGAGGGGCCCAGAGGGCTGTTCCAGCCTGGCCAGGGCCCCAGGCCTTGGGCCTGCGGGCTGCGGCGAGCTGGGGGCCTGGGCTCAGCCTCCAGAGGCCAGGCCGCCCTCCGGCCGGCCGCGACCAGGGGACCCTTGGAGGAGCTTGCCCGTGGCCTGCGCCCGCCCGCCCGGCCCCTGGGCGCACTCACCTGGTCTCGGGCCGCACGCTGAGCAGGTAGCTGCGGCTGGCGGGGCTGGGGATCCACACGGGCCCGTCGTCCTCGCCGTCGCCCCCCGTCCCGGACCGTCCGCCCGAGCCCCAGCCCCGGCTGGGGGCCCTCCGCGACCCCATGGCGCCGCCGCCCTGCCCGGCCTCCAGCCCCTGCCCGCGGCCGCCGCTCCCGCCCGCGCCTGACGCGCGCCCCTATTTATAGCCCGCGGCGGCCGTCGTCACCTGCTGCTGTCCCTTCCCTGGCCCGGCCTGGCCGCCCGGCTCCTCGTCACCGCGGGGGCGGCGGGGGGGCCTCAGTGCGGTCCGCGTCCCGGGGCCGCCGGGCTCCTCGTCCAGCCCGGGCCGCCGGCGCGACCGTCGCTGCGTCCGCGTCGGACGGGGAGGCCTCGGGAGGGAGGCGCGGGCAGGCCCTTCGCAGAGTCCCCGCGACGCCGGGTTCCCGCCGGCCTCTTCCTCGCCGCGGGGCCCGTCCCGCTCCGGTCCGGTCCGCTCCGCATGTGCGGAGGACCGGGCTCTGCCGCCCTCCCGAAGCGGGTCGCGAGGCGCAGCCCGGGCAGGCCGGGGAGTGGCGGAGCCGGGTAAGCTGCCTGGGAGCTTGGACCGGATCCGCGGGAGACGGCGGAGCCACAGAACCGGCCCTTCCCGGCTCCAGCCCGGACTGACCCTCGCCTCCCCAGGAGCTGTTGGCCCAGGGCTCGGCCAAACCCACCCACCTCCATCAGTGACCCCCTCCCCGGGAGGCCGGAACTGCTCAGGATACGTGTCTTGTGACTCCCCCACACCTCCCGGTTTCCAGCGTAGATGAGGGGCCCAGTGAGCACGTCTAGATTAGTGGAACCTCCTTCCTCACCCCTTCAGCCTCCGTTTCCCAGCATCGGAGGGGGAAATGAGCTGAGTCCTAACGCCCAGAAAAATAATTAAATCATTCTATAATTTCCAAGAGCAAGGTGCTAAGCACTGCATAAACCTGGTTCTAAACATTGTAAGTGACCACTATCTGTTTATTCCTCCTTCCTTCCTTCCTTCCTTCCTTCCCTTACATCCCTCAGAGCATCCAGAAAGTGCCTAGAGCTAGACGGTTATAATTGGTAGGAAGTGAGAGCAAGGGAGTGCAACCCTCTGTTCCCAGAGTTGCACCACATCCCACTCCTGGAAACGGCTTTCCCCCACTCTGCGGGGTTCCCACGGCGACTACCTTGCTCCTGTATGATCCCGCCCCTGGCCTCAGTTGCCTGGCGTGTCACTCAGACCAGGCTGTTCGTGGTGCCCTATCTCCCTGACCACAGACCCAGGCTGTGCCAACTAAATTTCTTCACCAAACTTTTTGAACTTGAAATTGGGAAAGAAAACCAGTCCCTCTGTGGTGGAAATCCGTAAGTTGTGAGGCCAGAGCTTGCAGCAGAGCAGCCACGTTTCCGGAAGCTGACACAGAGAAGCAGAAGAGAAGGGCACAGAGTCCGGGTGGCTTTCCTCGTTGCAGGTGTTCCTGGGGTCCCGCTCTGTCCCTGGTCTCCCTGCAGGTTAGTAGTTCAAACTTGCCTTGGAATCTGTGTGCCAAAAAAGTTCTCCCTCTGTTCAAGCTACTCCAAACTGGGCTTCTGTTAGTAGAATCTAAGTATCCTGACTAATACGAAAGCGTTTTCTCCCAGTGATCCCAAATCTGTCTCCTGATCACATGCCGCTGTTCATTCTTGTTCTTGGGGCTCTGGAGGTGCACTTATTAAAATCTCTTCCATCATCTACAGAGTCGTCCTTCAAATATTTGAAAACCCACTTGAAGTTTTGGTTCATTTGTTTAAATCTTGTGAACACCTATGTGTCAGGTTAGGTCACATAATCTCTGCCTTCGATAAGCTTACAGTCTAATAGGGGAGACAGGCAAAATACAATGCAGGGTGAAACATAAAATTATAGAACTCTGTAAAGGATAGCATAAAAGTACAGAGAAGATTTTTTTTTTCCTGCCCTTTAACTGCTCGCCCCCAGCCCCAACTCCCAAGGCGGAGAGAGGGAGGTAACTATTAGGAAGGGTAGAAAATGTAGTGTCCGGGTGTGGAGCCCGCCCCTTGGGCTGACTGCGTGGTGCCCCCAGATGCCCTCCCTTCCCCCAACGTCCAGCGCCCAGAGGTCCTGGGTCTGCGCCATGCTCAGCAGCTGGAGTCACATCTTCGTTTCCATGTCCATTTCCAACATCTTAGAATGTATATGTCTTTTTTCTTTAAAACAACTGCACTAAATTTGCAGAAGCCTGAACTTTCTTGGGCTTCTAGAGAAATCGATCCATTCTGCCCCCCTCCCTTTCTAACCCCCTTTGTGGTCCACAGGGTTGCTTTAAGCAAAACCAAACAACCCCTCCAAAAAAAGCAAATGAAAAATTCCGGGTAAAATCAACTATGCAGAGACCACGTTTTCGTTGAATCTGCCTTAAGACCAAGAAGCTGAGACCTACCTTGAAGGATTGATTTCTGTAGCTGAAATGTTCTAATTTTACTGACGTTTGGTGGAGACAGTGAGAAAAAATAAATATGAATTTGACTTGGAAAAGCACAAGATGAATGAAATAATCATATTTAATTTGATTAACTGAAAAGGCGAACAAACACAGTGGTGTATTCCAAATGCTGGTGTCTTTGGTGGGTTTGTAATTATGTAAATAAATTGCTATTGGTCTTGTCAAAAATAAATTAAAGATCAGAACTTTGGTCGTGACATAAAAAAAAAAAGTATAGAGAAAAGAGTTGTCAGTTTTGCCTAGAGATTTGGTTAGGACAGTTTTCAGTTTTATAAGGAAGGAAGTAAAGCTTGAGAAGGATTTTTTTTTTTTGAGACAGAGTATCCCTCTGTCACCCGGGCTAGAGTTCTGTGGTGTCACCGTAGCTCACAGCAACCTCAAACTCCTGGGCTCAGGAGATCCTCCTGCCTCAGCCTCCTGAGTAACTGGGACAACTCTTGCCACCATGCCCAGCTAATTTTTCTATTTTTGTAGAGACCAGGTCTTGCTCTTGCTCAGGCTGGTCTCAAACTCCTGACCTTAAGTGACCCTCCCGCCTCAGCCTCCCAGAGTGCTAGAATTACAGGCGTGAGCCACCACGCCCGGCCTTGAGGATTCTGAAAATTACATAGGTGCTCACCAAGTAGACTGTTAGGGGTGGAGGGCAGGAGGGACAGAATATTCCGGATAGAGGCAACAGTATGTATAGAGGTATGAAACAGCCTGGTATGCATGTCACCCAAGTGTAAAGGAGATGGGAGAGAGGAGAACTGGTAGAGAGAGAACCAGACAGAGGCTGCGGCCTGAAGGCCTTGACTAGCACACTGGGGAACCTGGGCTTCCCTTCTAGGCCATTTCTCATGTGACAATGGATATGGTGCCACTAGTTACCCTAGTGACCCTCCAACTGACCAATTTCCTTTTGAAAATATGGCCCCTGCAGAGGTTAAACCACAGCAACCTATAACTAAATTAACACCTCTCTGGGTCTGGGCTCCACACATTAACAACAACTTTTTCGGCAGCCAAACTATTTCATTGACTCCTGAGCCTGTGAGATTTCAACATGAACCACTGTTCATTTAAGTTTTTCCCACTCCTACTTGTAAAGTCTTTTTTATCCTAAGTGCAAAATCTTACCTACTTTTGCTTTGTTTTTAGTTAAATCTCATCTTCCTACTCTCATACTTCCTTTCCTTCTCATCTAGAATTTTTTTTTAACTCTGCCCATCATCCAGTATTAACCTATAGGATAATCTTGCCTTCCCAGCTTCTTGCTATCTGCAGATTTAAGAGCAGACTTTGTTTGCAACCAAGTTCATGACGATAGGGGCAGAGCTGAGTAAGGAGTGTCAAGGCACATAGGGATGGAGAGGTCAGTAATGTCTTTCTCTAGCAACAGAAAGAGGACGTGGAAAGTGTGTTGTCTGAGAAGGACTAGGCTAGCAGTCCAGAGACTAATCCTACTTTTCCACTGAGCAGGTTTGAGACCTTGGGCAAGTGGCTTTACCGCGCCCGACCTTTAGCGGTCTCCTTTGTGAATGGAGTGGGGCATTCCATTTACAATTCTGAAGGTCATAGCTGTTCATTCTGCAAGTATTTATTAACTACTAGCTACTATGTTGAGGGTACAGAAATGAACAAGTTATCATTTCTTCCCTCAAGAACTTCTCAAGCCTGAAGATGGAAAAATTAAAACAGAATCTTCAAAAATCCTCTGATGGAGTTTTGTACATGGTGTTGAAAGAGCACAGAGGAGCACATGCTCTCGATCTGTTAGGAGCAAGGTAGCACAAGGCAGTCAGTGTCTGCCATTAAATGGGAGTACTGATGAAGTGCTGTAGGAATGTGTTATTGGTGCCAGGATCCCTCCTCTTGGTTGTTTTGAACTTCCTGGGGCCCCAGAGTAAACTGGGGGCTTGTGGTAGGAAAACCTCGGGCTACTGTTACTAGCATGCTTAGCGTAACAGGGCAAGCTGCTCCCTGTCAGAGCATGGTGGAGTCTCCCAGGACACTCAGACCCAACTACATCGGCCTCCCTCAACAAGGTCTGGATGAGTTTGAACATGCCTTTTATTTTGACTTAGTTCCATCTCTTCCCCATCCTACTCAGCGCTCTCTCTTCCAATGCTAACAGACTTCAAAGGGGACAATCCACCCTCCCCTGAAGCATTGGCCATGATACACATTACCCAATACTCAACCCCAATATGTGTTATATTTATTAGTTATCAGGACACCACTCCACGTTCTTCACCATCATCCACCTACACTTATTGAAAGCAATGCCCACCTCACATTGACTGCCACCGTGTACCAGGATCTCGTCCCCTGCCATCAACCGTGACAGCCAACACCCCGGCAGCAGGTCCATTGACCTTGTCCCTTCAAAGACCTTCACTCCCACATCCCTTTAGCAACCTAATCAAATACCCACCACTTGAACCTTGTCACCAGGAATTTCTCCACCTCTAAAATGCCGTCCTGTTATCCTCCCACCTCCCAAGCCTACCCTCAGCTTTCGGGCGACTCCAGACTCCAATTCCCCCACACTCTACATTCTTGGGTTCCTTCCTAGCTGGCTTCTCTGGTCCATCCCCACCTCATTCCCATATCCACATGGACACAG